TTCACTTCAAAGGATATTGCTGTTGGTCACTGTTGTAGAAATTTAGCAAAATCAATGCATGGGGTAGATATTAGAATGAACAGCTGTTTTTTTTTTTTTTTTAGAAGTACTTTGGCCTTGAAGAATCCTTGTGGAAAATGATGATTGTTTTACTGAAGGGGCTTTGCAGCCATCCCATGACTTTGGTCACAAGACACCTCAGGCACACCTGATGGTCTTTTATTGTGTATTGTCAATGATACACAATAAAGAATGAGTAATGAAGGCACGTGATGCTCTTTTGGTAAGACATGTAAATTAGATTAGGGACTTTGGTATGAGGAAACACTTTGTGTAACTTTCAATAAATATGCCCTATGGCTGTTCAGGGTTCACTCCATCAGAGGAAGCCACATAGGCCTTAAAATCTCATCTTGGAGTTCCTTCTTCAACTGACCCACACTATATAGTGTATCCTGACAGGTCACATTGCATATACTGTCATGACAAAGGAAACAAAGAATGGTTCTATAAAGCAGTTTCTAATGCCATCGGTCACTCACATAAAAGGGAGCCACACATTAATCTACTATAGAAGTTTCCTAACAGATACTACTAGAAAGTTGTATCTCCTTTTTGATTCTAGATCTCATCATTTGAAGAGCCATACAGTCCGGGCAGCTGAATTGAAAGACATCAACAGCATGGTGACCCATCAAGGGTCCTGTTAGTCTCAGCAATACTTCTTAGCTTAGTTACTACACCTTGCTTTGGAACTTGGCAATTACATGATGGACAAGAGTCTGTAAAAATTTCCAAACAACCTGAATCCCTCAGTGGTACTGAAATGTCTTAAGTCCATCTTGACTTCACTACACTTGTTTGCTTAAACACTCCTCAACCTTCTACTCACCTTCCACATTGGCATGGATTCTACTGTCCAAAACCATGTCTTAAGGCTTGTGTGACAAGCAGTTTTCCATATCAGCCCATTTTCTGTCCATGGATATCTTGTTTGCAATCTTAGTTTCTCTATGTATTTTATAAATTATTTAATCTGTTACCCATAAACACATTGTTCAGTAACCTACTTTTCTTTCTGAATTTCCATAAGATTAGCCGTCATAGAAATAGGGAAAAAATTACAATGTAACATAAAAGAACAGAGATAACAAAAGCAATGATAGGAGAAAGGGCAGTCAGAGAGTAGATGACCTTCAACTCTACTACAGAGCTATGAGAAGGACTGAATAAGATTCACAAAAAACAAATGTATAGACCAATGCAATGTAAAATGAGACCCAAGAATAAATGTTAATACATTGTAAAGATTTGTCACTCAAAATAGTACAATAAAATGCTGATCAGACAGCAGCCAGGAAGGAGATATAGGTTGGGTTACCAAACTAAGGATGACAGAAAAAGAAAGGGCAGTCTGAGGGGTCACCAGCCAGATACAGATGTAGCGGGAGTGGAACATGCCATGCTAATAAAGGAAACACCACATAATAGAGTGTAAATAAGGAATATGGAGGATTGAGTTAAAATGTAAGAGCTAGTTAGTAATAAGACTGAGCTACTGGCCAAGCATTTATAATTAATATAAGCATCTGAGTGTTTATTTGAGAGCAGCTGCAAGACACAGAAACTTCCACCTACATATAGTACCCAAACATTTTGGCAAGAACTTTCACATAAAACCTGAGAAATTTTAAGAAAAGAATTTTAAACACACAAAAGAACACTTAAGGAAGGCTTCTTGGTAACTGTCTTCCCGGGTGGGCACTGTTTGATGGCAGCAAGCAGACACAGCTCCTTTCAGATGCAGCTTCCTGGTTCAAGCTGGCAGCACAGACGGCTTTTGGCAGGTCCTGCTACCAAACACTTAAATGAAGTTTATGAGCAGCAGGTGTCACACTACTCAGTGATGACATGGACCCAGAAACTCCCCAGAGTTGTGGCAATGCATTTGGCTCCCACCGGCAATTCTACCATGAAGTTAAGCTCTCACAGACCAAGGAGCTAGGCGCAGACAGCCACCAAAGCCACTGCTTTGATCCTAGTCACACCACTTAGCAGTTTAAAGACTCAGGTTGTCAGAAAGAGAGAGACGCAGTAAAGACAGATTCAGATGGAAAAAACCTAAACGGTTTACAGTGTGTTTAAAAAATACACATAGGCTTGGAAGAGAAACCAGAAGGTATAAAAAGTCATAAAATATGAAACACATAGTTTTACAATAAAATCCTAACAAGGAAGTAATATGTAAAAGCCACATAAAGACCATAAAGACAGAAAATATACAAATAGTCTGAATATTGAATGCTTTTGTATTGTCTTTGAGTTTTTTTTGACTGCTGAGGAAGCAGCAGTAGCTGCTAAGAAACATTTGATTATAAATGTTGCTGGATTAATCCAAGATACACATTTTTAAAATATCTTGACTTCAAAATTTAAGTCAAAAGAAGAGGTTCTGCTTTTATTTCCACAGAAAATGTGAGGTTGTGGATTTATTCTGATATAAAGAAAATCAGGTTTGATTGAGGAAGACCCCCTGAAATACTGACTGCAGACATAAGGAACTAAACTTGGAAGAACTACAAGACATATGATGTATATGGTACCTGCTCAAACATCTAACAAAAAAATCTTCTTTGGCTGACTTGCATACAATGCAGTTAGTTTATAGTGATACAAATATGTACCTTTAAAAGTTTATGAACTTTCAGAACAGGGGGACCAAACACCAATGACAATGGATGGCTTAGGTGATCCAGCATTTCAAATTGCCTGTTACAGTCTCCTCAGAATTCTACATCCTGAACAGCTTCAAGGTTGCTGGCTGAGATGATACAGCCTCACAAAATACTCCAGTCAGGACTTGACCTTAATTGTAAATTTTCTCAGGGTCCCCCAAAGATTACTAGTGCCCCCAATCAACAGGAAATAGTCTAGAGAACTATACCCACACCCTCTCCAATAGATTATGGACTTTTGTCTTAGTTTAAGGGGTTAGTTACAAATTGTTATTGGTCATAGTTTTTAAAAAAGGCTAAACGAAAGAGTTAAATTCAGAGATCTGTTTCTAAAAGAAATGGGGATATGATATAGAAATGATGGAATTAAAGGGTAATTATTGAATCTACTTTAATCCAAAAGACAACTATTAACTTTACATATTTTACATTGGTATGGATTTTTGGTTTATTGATTTTTTTCTACTCTTTTTTTGTGTTCATGCAACTCATTAAAAAAATGTAATTATAATTAAGAAATCCAGATTAATAGTCATCTGTAATAGTCAAACATATAGTTATATTAGGTATGTTTTCAAGGACATACACCAATATATTAGATTGCTAGATGGTCTTCAAACACTTCAAAGACCTATAGAATATGGCATTTAATATGTTCAATAACCTAAGGCTTCTCATAACAGTAGACATGTCTACTTATGGCAGCACCAATCTACTTCAGAGAAGATGATGGACATAGAAGAGACTCCATATGTAGTTTTCTTTATGGCAAAAGCTAGCCACATGGGCAAATAAATTGTCCTTGCATCAATTGCTGACAGTATGCTGTCCAAACTGGACAGGCAGGACACAAAGAAAGGTGACTAGATAAATTTGCCAAGATGATGTAGATAGTCCTTCAACATTCCGGCTTCTCAAATTTGCCTGTCAGACATATTAGGCCTATAGGCCAAAGATGGATGCCCCAACACTGCAGAGGAATTTTGGGTGACTATCCAGGCCTGACGTCGGTGTCATTAGATAACACTTCACCTTTCTGGGGTATTTGATGGAATTGAAGATGAGATAGTTTTCTTTAGTAAATTAGGTTGCAAACTTTGGACTCACAAAGATACATAATAGAATACTTTCTCTAATTTTGCCAAAAACAAATAGACTGGATATTGTAACTGTAATTGTTACTTGATAACTATTTTTGTGGTGTATATAATCTTACTATGTTAAAGTTAAAACCTTCCCTTTTAATTACATAAAAGGGGAGAAATGCTGTGGAATAATTCTTTTATATACTGTAAAGATTTGTCACTTGAATTGGTATAATATAATGCGACTGGCCAGGAACCAGACAGGAAGTATAGGCAGAGCAACTAAACTAAAGATGATGGGAAGGAGAAGGGCAGCATCTGAGGGGTCACCATCAGATGCATAGGGAAGAGGAGATGAATGTGCCATGCTAATAAAGATACCACTACATGGTAGAATGTAAATAAGGAATATGAGTTAACTTACAATGTAAGAGCTGGTTAGTAATAGGCCTGAGCTATTGGCCAACCATTTATAATTAATACAAGCTTCTGAGCTTGTGTTATTTTTGAGAGGATACAGGACAGGAAAACTCCACTTACAATTGTATCCATTACTATGTAAGTCATAAGAAAAGACATTGCTACACTATAGATATTAGTGTGGTTCATTTGCTAAGCTGAGGTGTGTATACTAAAAATGGGTCCTGCCATACTAATTTTATATAGGTTTCTCTACAATATGAATTCACTCATGGGCCCTAAGTATTTAAGGCTTTGTCATTATTTGTAGGGTTTTCTATACAAAATATATTGTTTTGATGTTAAGGTATGAAGAGTAGAATAAATTGCTTATCAAGTATGTTAAGTTCATTCATGGCTAAATTTCCCATGTTGAATTTGCAGCAATTGTTCAACATGTAGCTACTGTCTTTGCTTTTACAGAATAAAATTTTTGGTGTTAAATAAGAGAAACATAAAATTATTTGTCATATTCTTTACATCAATAGGACTTTTATGCAGTATGAAAGCACCTAAAGGCTTTATGACACAGTATCAAGTAGTCTGATGGCAACAGAGGTATGAAAAAGAAGAATGCTTCCCTGTGTCCTTTGCCATCTTACATTGATTTGTTAAAGTCATGAATGGCATGGCCCAAAACAACTTAGGGGAGGAAACATTTTATTTCAATATAAGGGTCAGGGTCCCTCTTCCAGAGATGCCAGGACAACAAAGGAAGAAGAAACCATGGTTCCTAACATGTTCCTCTACCTCCTGCTCACCCACAATTTTTATGTGACCCAGAACACCTCCCAAAGGTTGTGTTGCCTGCCCTGGTTGGACTCCCATCACTTACCAATCAAGAAAACAATCCCCAGAAATGCCTGTAAGGCACTCTGATCCAAGAAAGTACCCAGTCAGATAATGCTGGGCTAGGTGAAGTTGATGGCTGATGCTAAGGAGGACATTTGCATCTGTAGGTTTCTCACCTATATCAATGCATTGGTGTTGCTAAAGACTGAAGTATTGTTCAAGTATTGACAGTGATTGTACGTATAGAGTGTCTCTGCAGTATGAAGTATCTGCAGATACTTACAGTGTGAAGTACAGGTAGAGAACTTGCCACACTAGTTGCCTTTGTAGGATTTCTCATCAGAATGAATTCTCCAAAGCTTATGTAGAGATAAGGAAAAGCTAAGCCCTGGTCCTTTTCTGCCCTAGTAGGGTTTCTCTCTGAGGAGAATTAGTGAGGTTGAACCATGACTGAATGATAACCTTTACCACACCCTTCACATTATAGCATTGATGTTCAGAGTGAAGATTGTTGTGTTACTTAATATATAAAGAAATACCAAAAGCCTGTCACTCCATTCAGAATTGGACTTTTTCTCCCTAAATGAACTTTATTGTTGGTAGAAAGTGTTGACCTAGTGGTACAGCACTCACCATTCTTCACAAGTGCATGACTTCTCTACTCAATGGATTCATTTGTTGTGGATAAGGAATGGATTTTAGCAAAATTTTATCACATTGTGCATACTTGTCAACTTTCTATTAAGGATGAATCCCTTTATGTCTTCTAAGGGATGAAGATCGGAAAAAACTTTTGCCACACTTTTCACATTTATAGGGTTTCTCTCCAGTATGAACAATCTGGTGCTGACTGAGACTATCAAGCCGAGAAAAGACTTTTCCGCACTGTTCACATATGTGAGGTTTCTCTCCAGTATGAACTCTCTGGTGTTCAGTAAGGGCTGAGTAACTTGTAAAGGTATAGTGACATTCCCCACACTTGTATGTATGGATTTTGTGGTGTTTTTTAAGGTCTAAAGTAGAATAAAACATTTTGCCACATACTTCACATTTGTAAGACTTCTCCCCAGAATGACGCAATTTGTGCCAAGGAAGGTACGACAGAGTAGAAAATGTTTTCCCACACTCTTCACATTTGTATGGTTTCTCTCCAGAATGAAGTCTTTGGTGATCCTGGAGTTGTGGGAAAGAGTAAAATCTCTTGCCACACTCTTCACACTTGTAAGAATTCTCTTCAGAATGAATTCTTTGATGCCGCTTCAGGAAGGCAGAAGAGTAAAATGCCTTGTCACAGTCTTTACACTTATAGGGCTTCTCTCCACCATGGATTCGTTGATGCCGCTTAAGCAAAGAAGGGTAGTGAAAGGCTTTGCCACACTGTGCACACTTGTAGGGTTTCTCTGCAGAGTGAATTATTTGATGTTTCTTAAGTAACAACGGACAGTAAAATAACTTCCCACATTCTTCACACTTGTAGGGTCTCTCTGCTGAATGAATTCTTTGGTGTACCTTAAGCAGTGATGGGTAGGAAAACACTTTGGCACATTCTTCACACTTGTAGGGTTTTTCTCCAGTATGATTTTTCCGGTGTCTATAACGTGTTGAGTGAGAACTAAAGGCCTTACCACATTCTTCACATTTGTAGGGTTTTTCTCCAGTATGGATTCTCTGGTGTACAGAAAGTTTTGAATGAGTATTAAAGGCCTTACCACATTCTTCACAATTATAGGGTTTTTCTACAGTATGAATTTTCTGGTGTACAGAAAGTCTTGAGCGAATACGAAAGGCCTTACCACATTCTTCACATTTGTAGGGGCTCTCCCCTACATGATCTGTCTGGTGTTGAATAAGCAGTGAATTACAATAAAAGGCCTTGCTGTAATCTTTGCATTTATTGACTGTTTTTCCTGTTGACCAAAAGTTGAGACATGAACAAAAACTTTGCACATTCTTTATATTAATAGGCTTATCTTTAAAATGGAGACATACTCATACTTACATTATTATTGATAAATCAGAAATAACACTATTTCTACACCTATGCTAACTGAGAATAACTCAGAAAATATAGTAGGTAGAAATAATCTAACCTTCTACTCAAGTAAAAGTCTGATAAAACTGAATATAGAAATAATGGCATGCCAGGTAGTGGTAGTGTACACCATTAATCTCAGCACTAGGAAGGCAGAGACAGGTGATATCTATGAGCTCAAAGCCAGCCTGGTCTACATAGTGAGTTCCAGGACAGTCAGGGCTACACAGAGAAACCCTGCCCCGAAAAACCCAGGAAGAAGAAGAAAAAAAGAAAAGAAGAAAAGAAGGAGAAGAAGAAGGAGGAGGAGGAATGGCATATTATCTAAAGTTAAGTAGCTAATTAAGTAATAATTATCTATGATGAAGGAATCCCTTAAGGGTATTACATAAAGAAAAATAAATACCTTAAGCAAACATAGGTATTATAAGTAGACATACATGGCATCATCCAAACATAGGTATAAGTAGACAAGTAGACATAGATGGCATCATCCACACATAGGTATTATAGTAGACATACATGGCATCATCGACTGGGAAATGGGGGAACTAAAGTGACTGTGTGAGAGTGGACACATATAGAAAGACCATTTTTATCCTAAAGATGAAGTTTAGGATTTTTAGGCATGAATGAAAGTGTGCATAACAAGTATGTCTACAAAACCTTAAATAACACACCTCACAAATTTCAGACAGCATTTTATGTTGTATTTGAATGACAAACATCTCAATAATATAAAAATTATGAAAAAAATTAGGTTCACCTATGAATAACAACTTCTGCCAAAGACAATATATTGCCAATGAAAAGGTGCTAAAATTAGCTGCCTTGCTATGAATTTGTAATTTACAAGATGAAACAACCACTGAGCAATGAAAAGAAACAATGTTCAATTTATGAAAACATAAGACTTACGTTTACAGATGAAGTGGAAATACATACACACTTCTCATGATCACATAACCAGAGCTCATATATATTGTTATCTTACATGGTCCTGAAATGTTTATAATTGGATAATCCTTCCAAAGAATTATATAGGTTACACATAAACAACTGATTATAGGTTATCCACTGTCAAGTAACAGTACACAATCAAACTGCCAAGTTAGGAAAAAAGAATCTTGAATTCTCAATATTCTGAAAACTTACTGATCACCTATTAAAATATTCTAGTTTTGGAGAGTTTTAATCCATGACTATATAGCCACAAAGAGTATGCATTCTAAGTCCTTAGTGAGTGTGTGATAAAAATGAGAATACCTTCACATCATTCATGAAGAACTCTGATGAGGTGATTTTGATCAGCATGAGCATAAGTGATGTGAAATATATTTATGTGTGAAGGTACTGCTTTAGGTCTTTAGAAATGTGTGCAAATGTTCAGAGGTTAAGAAAACAGTACAAAATTATGATGCTAACTCAAAAAAAAATTACCTTTGGGAATCATTGTAAATAAACTGAATAATTACAAAGCTTAAGAGACTTAAACCATCATAAACATCTGAGAGGTGTCCTTTGACAACAAAAACAAGAAAAGACCTAAAAATTATCTCTATAATATCACCATCCAAGGCAGATGGGAAAGCCTGCCTTCCTGTTGAATATTTGCATCTCAACTCTTTTCTTCACTCCCCTCATTCTTACACACCTGTATGCACAGTAGCTGCCTCTTGTTTCTTCACATCTGTAGACCCTTGTCTTTGCTCCAAAAATGTCACCAGATGTGGCTTAGAGAGAACAAGACCTGTTTGTAGGAAAGGGAACAAGATTAAGAGGTCTTCTACTGGGAATTGACATATTCCCTTCCTGGACACTGTTTATAAGAAAAGAGAAGATGTAATAAATGACTTCAGATAATCAGATCCTTAAATGTTTTTCACAGGATCACTACAGGACATCAAGGAATTTACAACATCCAGATTCTGAGTTTCATTTAAGGGGAAAAAAATTAAAACTGAATTGTGAAGCATTTGTATAATACGTAAGGTACATGGTCATTGGAGCTGAGTTTCTAACCTTTCCACTACTGTGAAGGATGTATTCTTCCAACACAGACAGGCTGAACAGACAAAAAAGAAAGCAGCGTTTCTTAGCCAAACATATTCCATATTCTTTAAAACCAAGACTATGAGACTTTGTGGTGGAAAGCACAAGCTGCCATGAGATAATGTATAGAGTGAGGAAGTTACATACTGATAGTGAAATAAGAATTCACTGTGGATGAGATCCTCACCCAGGAAATCAAGGTGGCTGTAATTCTCCAACATCACATCCCTGTACAGATTCCACTGAGCAGGCTCCAGGCATTCCCTCTCTTCTGGAGAGAACTCAATGGCCACGTCCCGGAAGGACAGCATTTCCTGAAACAAAGGTCAATGAATGAGACCTCACTTTTAATTAAAGTCATTAATAATAGGCATTTTGGGGCTACTTCTCTGTCAATGTAACACAAGCCAGGGTATTTGAGAAGGAACTTCAACTGACAATGTGAATTCCATAAGAATGTCCTGTATGCAACCCTCTAGGAGGCTGCTCTTAATCATTCATGAATACACACCAACCCAGTTCATTGTGGATGGTGCAACCCCTGGGCAGGAGGTCTTCGACACAAACAAAAGCAGGATGAGCCAGTCATGGAAAGCAAGCCAGCAAGCAGTGTTCTTTCATGGCCTATGATCCAGTTCCTGCCTTCACTGACCTGTGATGGACTATTACTTGAAGTTATAAGTTGAAATAAATCCATTCTTTTCCAAGTTGATTTGGTCACGGTCTTTATCACTGTTTAAAAATACCCTCTAACACAGATACCTTGCACTTGTTTACACAAATCTGTATTTTGCCTAGGATAAAAAGAGCACTAGGCATGAGTGACATGCTTCTAACATAGTTGAGTCCTCTTCCTCAGACACTTCAGATATGGTCACATGATCTCACACTTCACTTATCAAGGAAAGAGAAGGCAGAAGATCCTATAAGTCCATGTGGAAACTTAAGACAGATGAAATGTAAGATGAACGTTTCCACAGGAAAAAAAAAACATGCCTTTAGTGACACATACACGTTTTACATAACACACATATGTTTCTCACAGGAGAACATCATGGTCAGAGAGAAGAAACTTCTCCACCCTTAATATGCATAATCATGAATATGAAATACAATAAAAATGTAGTTTCTGATGTAGCAGCTGTGGACTGAGGTCTGGGTTTCTTAATTTGCACAGTTTAGTACTAATGCTGATGCATTGACCTGTACTGGCCTTTGACATACTTAGGTATGGCACACAGCAACCATTAATATTTGCTTTAAGTTAACACATTTTTGCAATGCGATGATTCAGATACTGTAAAAGGTACCCTAAAAAGAACATGACAGATCATATGCAATGTATTTATTGAAAAAAAAAAGGAATGAGCAATTAGAATTTTAGCTTCAACTTAAATATCACATGCTTTGCGCTGTATAACAGAAGGTTGATCTTAAATAAGCAGTACATTGTTACTAAATCTTAACCAAACAGTAAGTGGTGTATATCCAACAAACAGCTGGGACTCACATTCTCATCCACTGACTTATTTTTACATAACTACCACAAAGAAAAGAACAATGGAATGCAGGATTTAAACACTTGGCTAGCTGACAAAAACGTTCATAACCTCAAAAGACATAGTAATGAAAGCCTCTGTTTCTCAAGTTTACTCTGTTTTGTTTCTATTTAATTATGTCCAAATAACTTCTATAATTTCTCTCAGTGATCTCTAACATACAGATCACCAAGAACTCAATGCCATTAGCCAGCATACTTTCCCTTCAGAGTTTTCCAAGAATCACCTAACATAGCAAGATTAGTGCACGAGTCCATAAAAACCAGTATCTCCTTCCCTCATACCATCACTTATGCAAACATTAATACAATAAAAAGATCCTGGACTAGGCAGAACTGGACACTATAGGAGATTAAACTCCTCCCCATGGAAGAGTAATTAACAGAACTCTGCTTTGCTGGTTGGATGACACAAAGCTCCATGTGAGTGATAGTGGAAGAAGTAGCTGTCATTTTGCACATGCAGAGTAGGATTCTGCTTTGGATAACTGTAGAGTAGTATCGCACAGATGCTTTAACCTCTGGTGTAAGGGAGGAGAAGGCATCCAAGGGACAAACTAGCAGAGAAGAATGTAAACCTCTATGGGCTGCCTCTGTCATGGAGAAGTCTAGAGAGAGAATGAGGTCTGTTTACTTCACATTACAAGAACACGACTGTGAGTTCTTCCCCATTGTGCTGACCTGACACAAAAGCCTGGCACTGTAAACAAGGTGAGCTTTTTCACCTGCCCCTGGGACCCCTGCTGATGGACTGGCTCAACAAGTCAAGGCCAGCTCAAGGCATGTTCACACAGCAGACATCCTGCGTTTCTTGAAAGAAATCAACCTTAACATGGGGATGGAAGACCCATAAGGGCTTAATCACCCCAGTGCTCAAAGCAAAGCTGGGCACCAGCTTCCCCAGTCACTGCTCGGCTTTGCAGTGGGTCCTTCTTTCTCTGTGTGTCTGGTGCATGTCTGCTCCTTCACTCCTAGTCAAGCTTTCCTTTACCAGATGGATTCTGGCAAAATTGTCTGCAGTCTTCCAGAATTTCCCATCTGCGAACTGTTATGTCTCAGATTTTTTTTTTTCTTTTTAATTCAGCAACTGGCAGGAAAAGACAAAACAAAACAAAACAAACAAACAAACAAAAAAAAAAAACCGAAGACAATATCCCCAAGATTATAACTAGGCCTGCTATGGGACACAAGAGAGATAGATAACCCATCTATCTAGATATACCGAGAAAACCATCAACGTTCATCTGAGAGTGGGTCAGCTAGTAAGAGAATGTATCCCCAGTCAAGCTCCCAGCACCACCCGAGATGCAGCTTATCAGATGACCCACCAAGACCTGGGAATCCAGAACCTTACACCATACGCCACTCCTGCGTTACCACATTGCTGTGCTGTCCCAGAAGCCAAACACACCCGAGTTATGGGCAGTGTCCTAACAAAAGCATCAGTTGGCGCCATCAGGCACGCCCTCTCCCCAGCCCTGACCCTCAACCTCCCGCGTCCCAGGCGGTTCAGCACTGCACCTCCAAGGCAGCTTCTCCGCCCTCCCTCCCAGCCCAGGTCCGCTCTCTCCAAGACGGACCCGCACCCCGCACAGAGAGAGCCTCAGGCTGAGCTGCGCCCTGGACCAACCTCCAAGTCAGACACGCAGCAGGAGATCCAGCAGGACAGGACTCGCGCCCAACTTTGGGGAAAAAGCGCACTAACAGACAAAACGAACAAAAACTGTTTCCGGAGCAGGTCCCCGTGGCATCACAATGGCCGGACTACATTTCCCACAAGTCCGCGCGATGAAGTTCCGGAAACGCAGGTGTGGCGGTTTCTGCAGTTCCTGTACTTGTCCAGGTGAACCCGCGATATGGAAGGGAGGGAGAGAGAAGCCAGGTTTGCAAGAGAGCTGTAACCACTGAGGCTGGTGTTCGCCTTCAGATCCACAACACGAGATTATGAATGTGAGTGGAGACATTGACAGAAATACTGGACGTACAGGTCACTTCTGGTTTATGTATTCTGATTTCAGTCTTCCTACATCGCAAAAAAAAAAAAAAATCACGTTGACTCTGTCACTTTTAAATAAGGAAGCAAGACTCTAATGTTGAAATTCGAATTCCTTTCTTCTTCCTGCTGCATCCTCCCTCCCTCCCTTCCTATCTTCCCCTCCTTCCTCCAACTCCTCTCTTGGTTTAGTTTTGCTTTTAAACCATACAGGTTTTCTCGCTGTCCTGGAATTTGCTCTGTAACCAGACCAGGCTGGCTTCCAACTCAGAGACCTGCCTGCCTCTGCCTCCTAAGGCATGCACCACCACCGCGAACTTCTTTTAAAGATCATTTTTGAAACCAGACTTGGTTTGTGTGAATGTGCTCCTAGCTGTTTATCGTTTACTGACAAGATGCCCGGTCCAAGGCTGAACTGGACAATTTAGAGACCTTGTACCTAAATGAAAAGTACAAAAACAGGTAAGGAGCTAGCTATCTTGTGGTAAAGCCCTTGAGTATAACGGAGGCTTTGGCTCAGCACCACACTCATAAATCGTACCTGTTCTCCTATGCTGATACCCTGTGTGAGCCACTTATGGTTGAGACCCCACGACTCAGACTATATTCCTGTGAACATTGGAACAGGAATCGGGCCAAAGACACACAGATGGTTTTAATAATTGAACAAAGTTAAAAGTCCATTTCTCTGGAGTTTTATTTGCATAAAATTCCCAGATTCCATTTCAGGATCTTTGCACATATATATTCCTTGTCCTCAATTACAGCCATTAATCCAGGTAAGAAACTTAGTTTTTGTAAAATCATACCAGAACTTCACCAACCCTACTTTTCTCCCAAACTTTATTGCTTACTCACCGCCAAGTGTGCTACGAGTTAATGGTTAACTTCCCTCCAAAGTGGATACACATGGCTCCTGGGAGCACACCGGTGTGTGTGATTACTCCTGGCACGTCACCAGTTATTAAATCCCCTATGCACATCTTTGAGCTGTCTTCACAGTTTCCTCTCTTTTTTCTGATTCCTAGATCATTAGTTTCCTCCATTGCAGCATTCTGAAAAACATGCGCTTTGGCGAGAATCAGTTTAAACTCTCAGAGGGGGCTGGACAGATGGCTCAGTAGAGTAGTTAAGAGCACTGAACTGCTTTTGTAGAAGATTAGGGTTCACTTACCAACACACACCTGTCAGCTCACAGGGACCTGTAATTCCACTTCCAGGAGATCTAACTCCATGTTCTGATATCATTGGATATAGGCAGAGTTTTTTGTCCACAATTGGACTCATGTACACATGTAAAATACATACACACATACCCATAAAAGAAAAAAATATTTTTGTAATGTCAAGCTTGAATATTAAAAAAAGAATCAGTGCTTGAAGTATATTGTGTGCATAACTTATCACATATTGGCTCATGACTATATAAAAGGTATTTCCTGTTATCAGTGCTCTGTACAATCCAGTGAAATATACTCAGTATTAGTGCAGTTCTCAAGGCCCCATGCCCACTACACACTGAGGCTGTACTACTTGTGTGTGTGTGTTTGTATTGCACGATGCTTTATTACTGAATCCCTCACAGAGAGGCTGTTTTATGAACACTTTCTTGCCAGCCTGGTCCCAGAGCCTTGTCAGTCCCAAAATTACACACAGAGACTCTTAGTTATAAAGCTGTTGGTCAATGACTAGAGCTTCTTATTGTCTAGCTCTGTCTTAAATATTAACCCATAATTACTAATATATGTATTTCTACAAGAGACACATGATCTGACTTTGTAAATAGTTTGTGCCTTCTTTAAAGATATACCGAACTAGCTTAGGATAAAGTAAATGGCGACTCCTTTAAAAGGTTGATCAATGGAGTGCATCAGATGATGTAATACCACCCAAATATTTCCCCAGCTCTGCTTGACAAAAACAAAGATTTTACTGTTCATTAACACTTGTGGGTAATATTTATTTGCCGTACAGAACATGTGCCTTCTGGCTGGTCACCTTCTGGCCTATTTCTGTGGTTATTCTTCTCTCTATTCCAAACCATCTGCCTATACTTCACATGCTGATAATGCTGGGCCTCTCACATGGGTTTCTCATTAGCATGTGTAGTCTGTGAACATTCTAAGTCAAAGAAACAAAAGAAGGCTTCATAGTAACAAGAGCCACCTCATTCTGCTATTCCACAGAGGCCATTAAGTGGGAATTAGCAAGTATATATAATCACTCACCATTTGTTATCTTTCTATCCTAGAAACTATCAGAGCACAAATATGCTGGCTTGTCATATACATCCATGCAAAGAAGGCATGTTGCTTCCTGTTCATTTCCTTAGTCTCTGGGTTAGTTTCCCTCTCTGTTGTGATTTTAGAACACCCAGACAGAAAGCATCTTGGTGGTGGAAAGCAATTGTTTGATTTACAGGTTATGGACCACTTCCAGGTTGGGCTTTGTAGTTGGTGCAGGGTAATTATTTGGGAAGAGGTACCTCAAATGAGAAACGGACTGTCTAGATCTCCTGTAAGCGCAAACCTGTAGGGCATGTCCTGTCTTAATGATTAATGTGGGTGGGCCTTTGCTATCATGTTTTATAACACAATATAAGCCTAATGAATATGAACCATCACTGAGGGAAGTCATGGGAGGAAACGGGAAGCAAAAACAGAGAAACCATGGAAATATGCTGCTTACAGGCTTGTACCAGTGGCTTTCCCAGTCTGCTTTATTGCACAACCCAGGACGCTGCCCAGGGATGGCAACAACCACAGTAGTCTGAGCCTGCACACATCAATCATCCAACAAGAAGTTGTTCCACAGACAGTAGGTCAGCCTGATAGAGATAATTCCATAATAAAGGTTCCATCATCCTAGAAGGTGACTTGTGTCAAGGTGACAAAATCTAACCATCAGACTCTCCTATTTGGAAATCCATATTATTCATTTAAAAATAGCTCTTAGGAGTTTTCAGATGCAGGAGAAGGGAAGATATACCTATGGGGGAAGAACGTTTGCCAAACAGGCAGGGACAAAGTTATAAATCAGTTATGTATGCTACTGGTGATGCTCTGTCACTTTCTCCCTAAACAACCTTGCAGCCATGACGTGGATGGCCTTGGCAAGTTGCAAAGTGTCATGTAGCATGTGGTACATTAATAAAAATATATCCCTGCTACTGTTATAGATCAAGTACAGGGAATGTGGACACAGGATGCTTCTAGACTCTTAAGGTTGGAAGGGCCACCTGTATGTTGGTGTAACTATTCCATGCGGTGGGCTCATAGTCTAATAAAAACAAGAAGGGTTGTGTGGTGGCTTGGATGAGAATGCTTCCCACCCCAAGCTCATACTTTTGAATTCTTGGTCCCCAGTTGATGGAACTGTTCTGGAAGGATTAGGAGATGTAGCCTTGTTAAAGGAGATGTACATGGTGGTGGTGTTTGAGGCTTCAAAAGGAAGTTATGGTTTAATAGTTATGTCCCTCTATGTCATACCAAATCAGGGTAGACTCTACTGAAAGCATCTTTGTAGTTATCCACACACATTCCACAATGTAAAGCTGGGAAATGAAAAGCACAGCCTCCATTCTCCTTTACTTATGAGCTGGCCACTGACCAGAGAGTAGTCAGCTTGGAGAATAGCTTCTTATGTTCATTGCTTACATATCTTTTTTACTTCTACTCAAATCTGGGCTGGAGAGATGGCTCAGAGGTTAAGAGTACTGGCTGCTCTTCCAGAGGTCCTGAGTTCATTCCCAGCAACCACATGGTGGCTCACATCCATCTGTAATGAGATCTGCTGCCCTCTTCTGGCCTGCAGGCATACATGCAGACAGAACACTGTATACATAACAAATAAATCTTTAAAAAATATTTTCTATATATTTTCCATGGCCTCTAGCCTGTGTCACATAGATTACCAGGAACCCAATGTCAACACCCAGCACACCTTCCCTTCAAATTTTTCCTAGAATGAGTTGTCTAACATGATAATGAAACAACATCTCTAGTTGGTGGGCTTGAAAACTGGGGAAACTACTCTAGAAAGCATCGTAGAAAAACTACCACATAGCCCAGCTATACCATTTCTTGACATATGATGACATGACGTGGCATCATCTTCCAGAGATATATGCTCCGTCATGTTCATTGCTGCTCTATTCACAATAGCTAGGGATGCCTTATGGATGGATAATGAAAATGTGGTCCATATACACTATGGAGCAATATTCAGTTGTAAAGAGAAAAAAAGTTTGTGGGTAAATAGAAGTAGTTAAGACCATATTGATTAAGGCAATCCATACTTAGAGCCTCCCAGGGCTCTCCTAGAGTCTTTACTCTTTCCTGGAATATGGAGCCAGCTGTCCTGTCTCAGAAAGGCAGGCTGGACTTGGGCAAGCCTGGTCCTAAAGAAGCATCCACCCCCTCACTGTCTGTAGTGAGATATTCACTTTGTCCATACCTGTGGTGTAGACCATGCCCATTGGGAGTAGAGACAGGGGAGGACGTTACCTGGGGTAACTAAGTCTGAGGAGGGGGCTCTGAGAGCTCTCTTGCTTGCAGCATGGGGACAGGAGACATTCGGAGGCATCTTGGGACCAGGAACCTGCTGGTGTTCATCTGTCTATGTTGTAAGTTATTTATCCCTGAATAAACATCTATTTGGCCAATTTGTTTCTCCTGATCCTTACTAAATATCAATAACTGTCCGCATTGCCTTCTCCCCAGCCCTGACCTGGCATCCCTAGGCTTGCACAGCACCTCACAGTCAGCTTGTTCCTGCACAACAGCTACTTCAAGCCTGAACATGCACACTTGGTACAATTCCTCAGGCCTACAGGGCTGCACTGCACCCTGAACCAACCTCAAGTAGGAGATGCAAGCAGAGCCTGGGGCAGGCTCTGACACTTACCTAACTGGGGGACAACATGTGTGCAGACTGAACATACAAGTGTAGTTTCTAGAGCCTGGCTTGTAATGCCAGAGATGAAATTGCCCGCCAGTCTGCAAAAAAGAGTTCTAGGACCACATAGAGGGCTGTGTGCAGTTCTTGGGCTTCCTCTGCAGGTGAGGATGGATGGAAACAGCAGCCTCTGCACATGGGCAGTCACAGGAGTCAGTTTTTACTTTAAAATAGGCCGCTACAAACAAATATTGCAATGCACTGCTAACTCTTGAAAATAAATTTGGAAGCCAGGCCTGGTGGCAGGTCCCTGTAATCCCTGAGGTAGAATGATTACACCTGAGGCCTGACTGTGTTAGAGTGAGTTCAAAGCTGGTCTGAGCAATTTAGATTAAACATTAATGAAGGAGAAACAAAAATAACAAGTAGCGATGGAGAGGTGGCCAGTACTGGAGCCTATTCATTGACAGCAAGAGGACATGATTCAATAATAGATACATATATATTCTAGATATCCCTGATCTTACACATTAACATAATGTGTGAGCCATAGATGAGTCAGTTTCCACAGCTAGGAAAACATGTAGGTGATGGACCAGAGGGCTGTTAGGAATCCTTATACAAGGCTAAATCCTGGTTTCTAGACCAGGCATGATGGAGCACTGTTTTAAGACAAACTGTCCCACCAGTCAGCTCCCAAACCACAACACAGAGACTTCTTATTGATTATGAAAACTCAGCAGATAGCTCAAGCTAACCAGTTCCTATAATTTAAATTAACCCGTATCTTTTTAATCTACATTCTTTTGTGTGGGTCTGTTACCTTTATTTTGTTAAGCCGTACTGCCTGCTCTGTGTCCCTGGACTCTGCCCTTCTTCCTCTCTGCAGCACCTCTCTGCCCCCAAAATCCTGTCTAGCTATTGGCCATTCAGATTTCTATTAAACCAATCACAGTGACATCTTTATACAGTGTAATTACATATCTCCAACAGAGCACACCTTAAATCCCAGCACAGTCAGAAGGACCAGTGTGAGTCTGACAACAGACTGCTCCACACAGCACATTCCACGGCAGCCAAGAGACACAAAGAGACCCTGTATGGTGAGGAAGGGTGCATGTGTGTGTGTCCTGCTTTCTGGTGTTTTCATGCAAAGAAATTTCCAAAGTCTATCTTAGTATTTTTCTATCTGCCCACCACTTCCTCAGTCCATACATTCATTCTTTAGGCTATTTAAGAATTTTTCATTTATTTTTATGATTACTGAGGCAGAATTTCACCCTTCCATGCCTTTGTAACAAACAAAAAACCTCAAAAGCTGTGATCCAATATGTAGGCCGAGGCATAGTGACGGCCAATATAAGAGGGTAGTGTAATCAGGAAATACTCAGCACTCAGACTGGAATTAGGAAAGACTTTTACATGAGAAATGAAGGAACCTGTTGACAACCTGGCTAGTGATGCTGTGGAACATCTCAGTAGACAGGATCAGTGTGACTGCTGCAGTACAACTACTGGTCTTTCCTTTAGGCAAAGGCTTCATTAGTTCATACAGTATGAGTGGAATCATCCCGATGGACTGTCCTATTAGAGCCATTAGAAACACCTGGTCACTTTATCTGAGGCGCTCATAAGTACCAGTGCCTAGAGGACCACAGACAGCCACCACGGGAACTACCAAGAGACCCAGGAACAACATAGGCTGTGTTTGAAGCCAGTTCATTGGGAAATAAATAGAACTATGTTCACAGTGGACTTAAACAGGTTGATTCTTCAGGGATCTGGAGACCTGTATGTTGTAGCCTTAGTGGCTTTGCTGAGTCTTTTGTTTGGGCAAGTTCATTATAAGATGGAAAGGCTTTGACAGAACTTATTGAATGAAGTCAACATGTAAATGTTGCTCATAAATTGAGAGAGCCACCTAAAGGCAAGAAAAATGTAAAGCAGAGGAAGAAGTATATCTACTCACTCATAAACAGATGTAGCAAGATTTGAGTCAGATTTCTGAACCTCCAAATCCAAGTTGTATAAGAAACTCCAAAGGTAAATACCCAAATATCAGCTGGTCTTTAAAAACACAAACACAAACAAAACAAAAATCCTGCACATCCTCTCAAAGGACATTGTACTAAAGTAGAAACAGAAAGAGTAACCTCAGAAAGTGAACAACTAATTGGTTGTTCTAAATAACTAAATAATATATATCTTTAAATGAGTAATGGCTCATTGAATAAAACTAAGAGGAAGGTAGTCCTAAGAAGAAAAGTTACACTAAGATTTTTAATTGAATATAAAGAGAGGTTTCAAATAAATAACCTAATGACACACCTCAAAGCTGGAGAAAAGATGCCAAACCAAAATACAGAAGCTGACATGAAGTATAAACAATATATACTAAAAATAATATGAGTGCTAAAATTCATGAACTGGAAACCTTAAGAACAGCATACTAAACAAATAGTAGACTACCTCATAAGATAGACAAGATTCTCTAACTCCCAGTGAAGAAATCTGAGATAGACACAGGGTGATGGAGGAGGTAGAATAATGGAGGGGGAAAGAGAAAGGGGGGAAGGGGGAAACAGAGGGAGGGAGGGAGGGAGGAAGGAAAAAAGACTGAGACCTAATGTAATGGAAGATAAAAGGGAGTTGTTAAAACAGACTCCAATGGAATACAGAAAACCATCACAGAAGCTTTTGTAAATTTATTTTCCAAAAAATTTAGAAATGTTAGGAGAAATGAATATATACTTCTAAATATATACAACTGAGTGAACATAAAGCCAGAATATATAAACATCCTAACCAGTCCTATAACAATAAGGATACTGAAGCAGTAACTAAGTCTGACCACAAAGTAAAACCCAATTCTTTCATAAAATAGAAGCAGAACTACCAAGAAAATGACCAAGAAGCAGAAGGAACTACCAAGCTAATTCTATCAAGCGGACATAACCATAACAAAATCAGAAAAATACACACACACACACACACACACAAACCATTATCATAGTACACCACTATCTATAATAAATGTTTAGATACTTCACAAAAACAAAACAAAACAAAACAAAACAAAACAAACCCAACCAAACCAAACCCTAAAACCTAAAAACTTCTCAAAGAATTGAACATTTAGGTTATAAATCACAACAATAGGTTTTTTTCTCCTATGGTTTCCTCAACATATATAAACCAACATATAACACAGCACATTAATAGACATAAATCACATGAGCCTTTCAATAAGATGCAGGAAAGGCACTTCATGAACTGCACAACATGTTGAAGAAGAAACTAGGAGTGGACGGAGCATCTCTCAACAAAATAAAGGCAATGGATGACAAGAGGATGGCCAACCTTTAGTAAGTGGAGGAAAAACAATGAAAACAGTTCCTGGAAAAGCTGATATGAGACAAGGGTTACTATCCGTATTCTGATTGACTAGTGTGCTCTAACTATTAACTAGAAACTTAAGACATTATAGAGATAGCAAAAGAAGAAAAGCTTGATCTGAAACTAAACTATCGCTAGCCTTCATATACACCAACAGATGTTCTGAGAAGAAAACTGGGGGGAAAAATGCCCATTCATAATGGGAGACAAGAAAGAAAGTAAGAGGAAAAATAGAGGCAGAAAATGAGGAGAAAGGGAAAAATGTTTATAAGGGTAACATTAATGAAGGTGGTTAAAGATTTCTTTCTGTTTTGTTTCTGAGACAAGCTCTCACTATGTAGCCCTGGAAATTAGCAAAAATTTTAAATACTGCAAATAGTTTCCACAGGAAGAATTAGATGGCAGAAAGATACCACTTGTTCATGGATTGGCAGGGCTCACACTCTAAGACTGGCAATACTGATAAAAGCTATCTACACACTTAATGCAATCCAGAGCAAAATTTCAGTGACATTCACCTTAGAACTAGAAAAGAAAGAACTCATTTGGGAACACAAAAGATCCCAGGGAACACAATTTATATAGAAATAGTCAGATATATCACATTCCTGACCTCAAACTATACAACATAGACATAGTGAAAAGGGCTGCAAGGTACTCACATAAAAAATAAACAAACAAAAACACAATAACCAAAACAAAAAACCTACCCAAATAGACCAATGTAATGTTAAGTGACATAAAGATTTGAACCAATATGGCAACAAACTTTAATTTTTTTTTTTTTTTTACTTAAATGTCAAAACCATGTAGTGTAACAGCCTTTTTAACAATTAGAGGTGGTAAAAGTAGATTCGCACAAGTAGATCTGTATATTTCTTCCTACAGAAAAATCAATCCGAACTTGATGAGAAAATAACTTACTATTAAGAATCAAAAAAGTGCTGGACGGTGGTGGCAGTCTTTAATTCTAGTCCTTGGAGGCAGAGGCAAGTGCATCTCTGTGAGTTAGAAGGCAGCCTGGTCTAGAGAGTGAGTTCTAGGACAGCCAGGGCTACACAGAGAAACCCTGTCTCAGAAAATAAAAGTTTAAGCAAGAAAAGTGTTATAAACACTAATGCCACATTTGCACCAACATGAATACCACATGTGGTATCAAAATTCTGCAGAAAAAGAAAAATATCATAGTAAACTTTTACTGTTACTACACCTGTGGAGTGTGTATGTAAGTAAAGAAATAGTTTTTTTTGTAAAAGAACGAGGTAACCAGACAGGGACAAAGAAGACATTATGGTGCATAGCATTAAATAACAAACTGCTTGTTTTCTTTGGTTTGCAGCCTTATTTTTTCTCTTGCTGTGATAAAATACCCTTACATGAGTAATGTCAGGAGAAACAGTTTAATACTGCTCATGATACAAGAGCAATGCTTTTATTAGTTACTCTTCTGTTGTGATTAAACACCATGGCCAACGCAACTTATGGAGGAATGACTTTATGTTACAGAAGGGATCAAAGTCCATGATAGAGGAAGGGCATGGCAAGAAGCTGCAGGTGACTGAAGCAGGAAGCTGAAAGTTCACATCCTCAAAGGCAAGCAGGAAGCAGAGAGAGCAACCTGGATGTAGAGGGAGCTTTTTTTATTCTCAAAGTTCACCTCTAGTGACCTACTCCCAATTCTCCCCAAATAGGGAACAAATGTTCAAATGCCTAGACTACAGAGTACATTTCTCATTCAAACCATGACACTGGGATTCACAGGGAGGAAGTTAGGGCAGCAGTAGCTGCTCATGTCGCCAGGAAGCAGAGAAAGGCGGATGGTTGTTCTCAGTTCACTTTCTCCTTTTATACAATCCAGGATCCTAGTCCAAGAAAGATGGTTCCTCTCACATCCAACAGGTCTGATCACAACCTAACAAACAAACACCCTGAACTTTGCCAAGACTGATTAGATTCAGGGATGAATGAGTTAAGGGAATAAACACTCCCTTAGACAAAGTTCCAGGTACCACACAATACCTTGTCACACACTTCAAACTTGAAGGGATTCTCTTGAGAATGAGCCCTTTGATGTTCCTTAAAGTGTGAAGTACAGTAAAATGTTCTGCCACATCCTTCATATCTGTAGGGTTTCTCTACAGTAGGAAGTACCTTGTGTTTAATGAATGCCTTAAAGATTGATAAAGTTAAGGTTTCTCTTCAGAATGAAGTTTTTTGGTGTAGTTCAAAGCCTGAAGTAATGTTTTGACACATTATTTACAATTGTGGAGTTTCTCTTCAGCATGAATTTACTGGTATTTAGTAAGTCTTCAGCAAGTATAAAATACCTCGCCACATTCTTCCCATTTATAAGGTTTCTCTTCAGTATGGAGTAATTTGTGCAGAGTAAGGTATGAATGAGTAGAGAAGCCTTTCCCACACTCTTCACACTTGTAAGGTTTCTCTCCAGTATGAATTCTCTGGTGTTTAGAACGTCCTGAGCGAGTACAAAAAACCTTCCCACACACGTCACACTTGTACGGATTTTGAGAATGAATTCTTTGATGTTCCTTAAGGAGTGAAGGGTAGCTGTATGATTTGCCACATTCTTCACATTTGTAGGGTTTCTCTCCAGAGTGACCAAGTCTATGACGCATGAGGTATGAATGAGTAGAAAAGGCTTTTCCACATTCCTCACAACTGTAGAGCTTCACTTCAGCATGAATTCTCTGGTGCTTAGAAAGTTCTGAGCGAGTTCTAAACATGCTGCCACATATTTCACAGTTGTAGGGTTTCACTCCAGAATGAATTCTTTGATGTTCCTTAAGGATTGAAGGATAACAAAACGTTTTTCCACACTCTTCACATTTGTATGGTTTCTCTCTAGAATGGCCTAGTTTGTGCCGAATGAGGTATGAATGAGTAGAAAAGGCTTTTCCACATTCCTCGCAGCTGTAGAGCTTCACTTCTGCATGAATTCTCTGGTGCTTAGAAAGGTCTGAGCTAGTTCTAAACATGCTGCCACATACTTCACACTTGAAGGGTTTCACTCCAGAATGAATAATTTGATGTCCCTTCAGGTTCGAACGATAGTAAAATGTTTTCCCACACTCTTCACACTGATAGGGTTTCTCTCCAGTATGAATTCTTTGGTGTTGGTGAAAGTATGTAGATCTACGGAAGGCTTTGCCACACTCTTCACAACGGTACGGTTTCTCTCCAGAATGAATTCTTTGATGTTGCTTTAGGGTTGAGGGATATGAAAAGGCTTTACCACATTCTTCACACCGGTAAGGGTTTTCTGCAGAATGAATTCTTTGATGTTGCTTGAGGAATGAAGGTAAATAAAAGGCTTTGCCACACTCTTCACATTTGCAGAGATTCTCTGCAGAATGAGTTCTTTGATGTTGCTTAAGTAATGAAGGGAAATAAAATGCTTTTGCACATTCCTCACACTTGTAGGGTTTTTCTCCAGAGTGAATTTTCTTGTGTATATAAAGTGCAGAGCGAGTACTAAAGGCCTTGCCACACTCCTCACACTTGTAGGGTTTTTCTCCTGTATGAATCCTCTGGTGTATAGAAAGTGCTGAGTGAGCACTAAAGACCTTACCACATTCTTCACATTTGTAGGGTTTCTCCACAGGATGAATTCTCTGGTGTTGAAGGAGGAGTGAGTTCCAATCAAAGGCCTTGTCAAATTCTTGACATTTATAGGGCGTTCCCCCTAGTGAGTAAAGGTTGAGATATGAATAAAACCCAAGTAACATTCCTTATATTTATAGTGCTCATCTTTAACATGGAGACTGTTACTCATACTTGTAATTTTATAGACAAATAAGAAACTATAATACATTTCCAAACCTATATTCACTGTATGAAGTTCAGAAAATACTGTAGATGGAAACTATAAATTTTTATTGAAAAGATGAAGACAAGGAATATTAAAATTCTGAAGCCATTATCCAAAGTTAAATGGCTAAGGAAACATACAATCAATAATAATAAAAGCTTCTTAAGGGATTACACTAAGAATTAATTTCACCAGACAAATTGTTTGACCAAACAAAATTTTAATGTATCTATATTGGGTAATTTTCTGTTGCTGTGATAAAGTACCATAGCCAAGGCAGTTTACAGATGGAAGACTTAACTTGGGCTCATGGTTCCAGAACAATATGAGTCTATTGTGGAGGGCCATATGAAAGCAAATAGCAGGCATGGTGGCTGGAGCAGAAGCTGCAGCTCAAGGAGAGTGCAAATCATGAAGCAGAAGAACACACCAACAGTAAAGGGAGGATTTTACTACGACTCCCAGTCATGTTCTGCATCTAGCAAGGCTACACCTTCAACTAGGGACCAGGGGTTCAAAGCCAGGAATCCATGAGGAGACATTCTCATTCAACTAAGGTAGCCAAACTTGAGTGTCTGCATGTTAATACTGATTGTCTTGAATTGAATGGCTGTAGGAACAGTTTTTTTTCCTCCCTTAAAAATAGAGTTTTAGTTTCAGAAGTTTGAAAATGTTTGTTGCCTAGGAAGTTTATTATCTATAAAACTGTGGAATAATAGAGTTTAAGAGCTGAAGGCAGTATTTTATATTACATTTGCTTAACAAGGAAATAAATTCCTGATATAGACTTGTGAAAAACTTTTAAGTTTGTGTTTAAATGACAGACTTTCACCAAAGGCAATATTACTGTCAATGAGTATTTCATAAAGTTAAGACTATTTGTACTCACTCACAAGATAAAACAATTGAATAACAGGATATACAAGATGTGAAAACATGAGACTCATAATTGCCCATGAAGTGGAAGTACACAATACTGATGTTCACAGGACTGATGCTCCCATATTTATAAAAATAATTTACATTGTCCTGGAGTGCTTAGCATTGGACAATCCACTTACAGAAATATATAGGCTGCATGTGAAGAAATAGTTTAAGGAAACTTAAGGTAAGAGGAACACAGAAAATAGAACTACAAAATAAGAAAAAGATTAGTGAGTCCACAAAGTTCTGAAGACCTATTGATCGTCATTAAAAATATGCTTGTAGATGTGCTGATTTTATTTAGGATGTTATACCTACAAAAGAAATGCATTTTAAATTGACACTGAGTATGTTATAGGAAAAAAATATCATTAGAATACAGTACAGGCATTCATAGCTTGATTACAAATTTGTAATTAACAAGAATGTACATGACACGGAAGAATTTCATGTTTAAAGTTACTGCACTTACAGGTCTTTAGAAATGTGGGAATTTCCAGAGGGCTGGAAGACAGTAAAAAGTCAGTTACAATATAAATTTGGCAAAATTAAGATCTGACTCACTGTGAAGATCAGTAGCGCTCACTGGAGGGGAGGAACAAAGCTTAGAGACTTAAACCACCAGAGACATCTGGAAGATGCCCTTCTGTGACAGCAAAAGATACAGAAGGAGATCCTAAAAAAATGATTCCACCAATGTTCAGGATAAAGCCTGGATTATGTTTGACCTCTGACCCCCTCACTCCTACACACCTGGGTGCATGGTCGTAGCTGCTTGTCTCTTCACATCTGAAGGCTCTTGTCTTTGCTCTAGAAATGTGACCAGGTATGGCTTACAGGAAGCAAGACCTGTTTAGGGGAAAAGGAAACATCACTGTTAGTGTTTTCTACTGGGAGTGAGCATACTATTCCATTATTAAGCTTATAAGAAGAGATTAAAGAATTGTAGAAAATTAGTTCATTAAATGTTTCCTGAGAAACATATAGAATATGTAGGAGTAATTTGTAATCTGATAATCCTTAGCTTTAATTACAAAATCTGAAGGGGGAAAACATTCTCTTTAACATGTGTGCTCCATGCCTCACAATACTGAGTTTATAGAATTACAACCAGGGCCAGGAGTTGGTGGCACACGCCTTTATTCCCAGTACTTGGGAGGCAGATGCAGGCCAAGATGAGTTCAAGGCCAGCCTGGTCTACAGAGGTAGTTCCAGGGACAGCCTCCAAAGCAACAGAGAAACCCTGTCTCCAAAAACCAAAAAAAAAAAAAAAAAAAAAAAAAGTATTATTTCAGGCCAGAATCACAACCAGAATGAAGGAAGCACATTGAAAAACAATAAAAAAAAAAAAAAAAAAAAAAAAAAAAAGGCACATTAAAAACACAAGAAGAAATATAATATTTCTTGAACTATCAGTAATTTTCCCAATTTTTCCATTAAATCAGGTATACAACAGTTACTGCTGGAAGGCACAAATTCCTATGGCATGCTCTACAATGGGAGGAAGCCACATGTTGGTAGTGAAATAAGAGTTCACTATGGATGAGATCCTCACCCAGGAACACCAGGTTGCTGTAATTCTCTAACATCACATCCCTGTACAGATTCCACTGAGCAAGGTCCAGGCATTCCCACTCCTCTGCAGAGAAATCAATGGCCACATCCCTGAATGACAGCATTTCCTGAAATAAACATAGATAATTATTATCCATATTAAATTAAAACCACAATAATAACATAAATCACCACCATTTTGTGGTTATGAGTACAGTTCTAAATTCTGCTCAAGATAAGACAAAAGCTAGAAGTCCTTCACACATAGAAGTAAACAACTGCTGTGGAATACCCTTTTGTACACTGTGAAGCCTTGTCACTCAGATTGGCTTAATAAAAAGCTGAATGGCCTATAGCTAAGTAGGATTTTCGCTGGGTTTCGGGAGTCTTGAGCCAAATTCGGAAGAAGCAACATGGGAAGTTCACAGATGATGTAAACAAATCTTGGGCAGCACATAGATTAATGGAAATGGGTGAATTTAGATTGTATGGGCTGGCTGAAAACAAGCCTAAGCTATCAGCCAAGCATTTATAATTTAAGTCTCTGACAGGTTATTTGGTAAAGGCTGCTGGAACACAGAGAAACCTTGCCTACAAGTAACATTCCTAAAATCTGTCTGATATGGTCTTAGGATCTCATCTTTGGTCACACAATGGTCACACTTGACCCATCTTCCAGCAAAGAGAATGCAAAGATCCTATTATCTCACAGATATTTGACTTTTTAGAAATATAAAATGAAAATAAATGCATTCACAGAAACACATTATATTTCTCTTGTGCGTGTTTTATAACCACACACATATATATTTCTAACAGGAGAAAGTCATGGTGAGGGAGAAGGTACTTATCAATCATGAATGTGAAATGCAAGGAAAATGTAGATTCTGATGTGGCAGCTCTGGGAGAGGTCTGGGTTACTGAATTTGTAGACAGTTCAATAGTGATGCTACAGCCAGTACACCAAGAAGACATGAGATGGAACAGTCAGTAGATCAGTAAAGGACAAACTCACAGACAAAATGGAATCACAAGTATTTCAAAAAATTACAAATTAGTCAGTGTAGTAATAACATTATTGAAGATTTAAAACACACTAGACAACACTCTAACTTGTCTACCTCCCCTTTCCTTTTTTTGCTTTCCTTTTTCAGAGAGCTATTTGTGCATTTGCTGTAATCCTACATCAGGCTTTGCGTTCATGAGAGCTATGCCTTGGGAACCAAAGGTCAAGAATTATAATTTGTTATGCTACTTGCTATTTTCTCTTATTTTAAAATTTCCTCACTTCAGTTTTTTTTTTTCTTTTATCACATAGAATCCCTAAAATAATCTATGAGAGCAGTGATAAAATTTTTCCTTCCTATGATTAAATATCAAAAATATGAGAAATGTTGATTTAATTTTGTAGTAATTATAGTAATTTAATTTTGTAGTAAGTGTACTCTGCATAGTCTTCAAACCAGTTTCATATGCTCACAATGTTTTCCAAGCATCTGAAACATACATTACCTGCAGCCACTACTATGGGCTACAACTCGGTAAACTTCTTCCTCCTATCTAACTCCATCAGAGCACTCATTCATGAGCGGCTGCCCAGGCCTCTCTTCCTCCTGACAGTGAGCGACATAAATGTGTCATACAGCAGTCACTAATTTTTGTATTTAGTCAACACATTTTGCAATATTATGATTCAGAGTGTGTACTTGGAACCCTGAAAAAGAGGGGAGACCACGTCTCATATCTTTATTAGAAAGGTGAACTGTAAATTTATTTAGACTGTTACTTCTAATATCAATGGCAGCTGTCTCAGTATGGCTGATGTTTAAAATACCCAGGACACTGTTATTGTGTGTTCCTAATGAAATATTAAGTGCAGTCCACCCTGTGAACAGTTGGGGTTCACACTCTCATCCGTATGACTTTTATGTACTTACATCAAAGGGAACAATTACAGTCTTAGAAAGAGTCTAGACAAACACATATAACTTCTCAACTCATACTACTGCATTTGAAAACAACTATGGAGGGGCTCACTGACAGAAATATTTACAACTGAAATGGAGAAAATGATAAAAACCTGTACTTCTCATTCTGATTATGTTTTTGACTGACTCCTATTTAAATCTTTCTAAATACCTTCTATTGCTTCTTTCCATGGCCTCTGACATATGTCACAGAGTTCACCAGTAATTTCGCCTCATCATTTCCCAAGAATGACATGCCTAATATAAAATGGTTACTACTTGAGTTGGGGGGGGAGCAATTATTTCCCTCATTAAAAATAAACAGTCTGTAGGGAAAGGGACAGGAAAGGACAACATGAAATATTAGAGGGGAAAAAAAAAATCTCGTATTAACAGTTTGGTTTCCTGGCTGGCTGTCACAATACCATATGTGAAAGACAGTGGAGTTGTGGTTGTCATATCCACATGCAAAACTGGAGTTCTGTTCTGGCTAAATGTAAAGAAGCATTCCATACACAGGGGAAGGAATCCAAGTTACAGAGAAAAGAGAGTGTAAACCACAGAGGGCTGCATCAGCTTCGAGTTGAAGAGAGAAATGGGAAATGACTGAAACCTCCAATCAGATGCTTAAGGAGCTCAAATGGGAACAGTTCAGGGAAAACCAGAAGAAAACACTATGAGGTGCTCACAGAAACTAAAACAAATTAATTATCAATGATAATTAACATCCCCTGAAAATATGGAGGAATGTTTAAACAAGGCAAAGAACAAAATTCTCCCTCCCACAGTAAATGCAAACAATAATCTAATCACTAAAATCTAATGTAATTTTAAATTACACCTCAAATACAGCCAATAGACCTTCTCAAGTATATACTTTGAAAGTCAAGGTCAATTAGATTTCTGACAGCTCAATGGTGTTAGGCCAAGTGACTGGAGCCATAAGTAGTTAATACATCCATAAACTACATTAAATGACACATAATCTCACTTAGCATAGATTCGTCTTGGATAACCTATGATATGGAGGATGACCTTGAACTCCTAATTCCCTGGCTTCACTTCACAATACAGAGATGGCCAGGGTGCACCAAGAGCAGGCTTCAGTTTTTTTGTCTGCTTGTTTGGTTTTCTGTTTTCCCTCATGGGTTGTTTCAGTTATACACACTCAAGAGGTCTAAGTTATATGAGTACCTACTGCTGCATCCCTCCTACCTTGCAGGAAACCATTTTTGCTGGGTGTGGCAGTGTACTCTTCCCACTTTAAATGTAAAACACAATGCTATTCTTGTCCTGGCGACTAGTGACACCACGTTACCTAGTAAGTGTCTGTACTTTACTTATAGTTACACAGGCAACAGAAATATTAGTATTGAAGATAAGATGGGTTAAAGTCCATGTTTCTTTTCAATAGACTCTAATGCCACACAAACACTTGGTTGGTGTTGTGAACTATGAAACTATACAGGATAGGCCGAGGAGTCTACTATGCCCAAATCAAAGAACCCGGAGTGAGCAACAGCTCTTCAAATTCGTCCTTTCAATCTTTCTGATCCTGTATAAATACTTGGGCAAATGTTTTCAGAAGACTGTTCAGGGAGCCTGAATGCCACATTCAGGGACAGTGACAGAGTACCTGCAAGGGAGACCCTTCAGTGTACCCTGAGACAGAAGACAAGTCCATGACTAAAGAGCAATGTAAAGATTCTGTTAGGTATGGAGGTTTGCTTCTCCTCAAGACCCCTCCCTGAAGTCACTAGGCCACCTCCACCTCCCATTACTTATGACTTGTCTCTTGAAAGGGAGTTCAAATTCTGATATTAACCATATCTGACATAACTAGATGAGGTATTATTTTCTACTGTTTTTCACTCTGCAATATAGGATCAACGATTGCTAGAATGACGCAAAGCTCAAACCTTCTCCTTTAGGACACTCACTGCACAGTGTCAAGTCTGAGAATTGTGATCACAGAGGAGGCCACGAAGGACTCCCCTTCAAAACAACAGTCCAGAAATCTAATAATTTAATCCAAAGAAAATGGGACTAACATCCCATACGCCAATCTCTTTAACAGAACTCTATCCCTGGAAACTTCCATCAACTCAAACCAAGAGTATTAGACCGACCATAAAGTACAGGAGGGGCCAGATCTCCACTTGTTGTAGAAGGTGTACTTCTGAGAGTGGGTCAGCTAGGGAGAACACGTTTCCCCGGACAGGCTAAAAGTGGGCTCCTGTAACACCTCAGGTGCAGGCAGTGCTCTGGACAACGGGGCGGGGGCAATACTGTACTTTCCACGCTTGGGGCCAGAGCCAGCTGCCCTACCTCAGAAGCGCACACCGGACTCCAGCAGCTGCGCCCTAACAAAGCTTTCCCTTACAGCTCCACCCCATCCTGCTCTTCCCAGCCCAGACTTGCATTCAGGCTCAGTGGCCCAGCCTAGGTCAGCACAGCATCTCCAGGTCCTCTTCCCTCCCCACCTCTGGCCCAGCCCAGGTCCGCATCCTCCCAGCCGACCCCCGCACCCCGGACCCCGCACAATCCCTCGGGCTGTGCTGTACCCTGGACCAACCTCCATGTCAGAGATCCGCTAAGAGCGAGGAGCAGGACCCAACAGCAGCGAACTTAGGGGAGGACGAACGCCTGCAGACGGGATGCGGAAGTGCGGTTCGTAGAGCGACTGCTTGTGATGTCACAGGGAATCGGACTACATTTCCCAGAATCCTATGTTCTCCCTCTTCTGTCTGCAGAAGAGGGTGCAGTGAAGTTAGCCAGGTCTGCTGGCAACCAGGCTGCTTTTAAAGTCCGACTGCAAACAGGACCCTTTTGGATGTCACTTGAGATGTCTGATCACACTGTCCTTTAAAAAGTCGCCAACTAATTATAAAATCGTACTGCCGTCATGGAAACGTGGCATTCGCTTCGTTGTGCCTTAAAATAACGAAGCAAGAGGCTCATGTGGGAGGGCTATCACTTTGAAGATGATTTTCATCATCTGCCTTGATGTCCGCGCCTTTCACCCGGTTTGACATGAAAGGGTTATAAATCGGGGCGCGGGGGGGGCAATTTATAGCGGTCTTGTCTCAAAATACGAAGTACCGAGAGGAACGAGGAGCTATCTTGGCGGTAAAGTATGTCCCTAGAATGAAGGAAGCCTTGGCATTTGTAAATAACACAACATGTAAGTACTCCGTTTTCCCCTGTGTTGACATACTTTATGAATCATTCATATCTCTGGAAAAATAGTTGTCCTACGAACACTGAAATCCATACCATGAAGGAGATAAGTCAGGGACATAGACGTTTAATGAAGAAAAAAAAAAAAAAAGTCACTGAACAAAATTAAAAGGCCTACCCTGACATTTACATGTAAAGAACTCCCAGAATCCATGAGAATCTTTCCGTCTGTCCATACGTCGTCTATACTTTCGTCCATTAATCTATATTAGAATTTTAATCATTGCAGAACTTCACACACTCCCTGGTTCACCACAAACTCAGGGAAGTATTCAGCAGTTGTTCTCTGCACCTGTGGGTTACCACCTCAGCTCCTCTCCCAAGTAGAAAGACACAGTTCCTAGTGTCACAGTGGTGTGTGTACCCATGCAACATCTGGCCTGTAGAATTTCTCTAGGCATGGAACTATCTGGTTCGTTTTCTTCTGTCTTCTGTTGTGGAATATTTATAGAATGTGTGAAGATATACTGCTGTGATTGCTGCAGTAAAACAGCAGAATGGCCAATAGCTAGGTAGGAGGGGTAGGTGGGACTTTTGAGCAGAGAGAGGAAGTAGGAGGAGATAACTGAGGTGCAGGGAGATGCCAACAAGACATGAACACACAGAATGAAAGAAAGGTAAAAAGCTATGAGGCAAAAATGTAGATTAATATAAATGAATTGATTTTAGTTAGGAGAGATAGTGGGACAACCCTAAGCTTATAGGCAGAGCTTTCATAATTGATAGTAAGTCTAAATGACAGTGTTTGGGAACTGGCAGCCCAAAGCAAAGTCCATCTATAGTCTTCTCTAATTCTAGAATTTCTCCTGTCTGGCAGAATCAGAAATACAATCAGGGAAATATTTTTTGCTTATCAGAATACAGAAAGTAGATTGGCACCATGGAGTAATGAGACCCCTCTCTTGTCTCAGGAATGTTTATTCCTGTACTCACCATGACTTAGAGCCGAGTACAAACCTCTAGATTAAGGAGAAGTTCACATGACGGATAGTATTTCACCAGGAAGCTATTTCTAAGTCGACACTATAGGCTCTCACTGTTATAATTATTTTTGTTTCATTTCTGTAAGGAACCCATGTCCTCTTTCCTGTTTTGTTTTTCTCATGGCAATGTTTAAGGATGAGTTTTAATAACAATGTAGATATCTGAATTCCATCATGTATAGTATTAGTCAAGTAGAGAAAGAAGAAAGACTCTGTATTAGATATAATGCTGTTGGCCAGTTACTAATTTCTTATCGGCTAGCTCTATCTTAATTATTAACCCGTTTCTATTAATCTAAGTACTTCCATGTGGTCTCATCTTACCAGAGAGAAGGGGCCGGAGGTTCTGCTCTCTCCAGACTCTCCATGTTGACTCCTCCTTACTACTTCCTCGAATCCTCTTTGTCTCCTAGTCCCGCCTATCTTGCTTTCCTATTGGCCAAAAGTGCTTTATTCATTAACCAGTATGAGAAACATATTTACAGAATGATATCTCCCATCATTTCATTTTTTCTGTCTAAATAAAAAGAAGGGTTTTAACATGAACATAGCAAAATAAATCACACCACAGTTATCAAGTAGGAATCACAGTTAACAATATTTGGTTCATTAATATTTAGTGAGATTTAAAGATATATTTCATCATCTATCCTATCTTCGTGAGTCTAAAGTCTTATATGTACCTTATCTTTAATCCTAACTAAGGAAAACTATAACCATATCTGTCTTCAATTCCTTCAAAGACCACAGAAGGATAGTATATAAACTCTAGAAATGACAGAGACAACTCATTGCCTAGTCTGTCACCCGAAGTTCTTCTGTAATCTTCCATCTTCAGCCCATAGGCCATAGTGTGTCTGGCAGACTCTTCGAAAAGCAAGGAACTTTAAACTGTCTTCTTGTATTGGCAGGTTGTCAGTCACTTTTCTCTGTGTCCTGCAGACTGTCTGGCAGACTCTTCCATGAAGCAGGAACTCTGTAGCAATGTCCATCTTGAATCAGCAGTCACTTTTCTGTGAGTCCTGTATGTCCAGTTTATACAGCATAAAGTCAAACAGTTCAGACAAGACCAGTATCTTTTCCAAATGGCTAGTCTTGCCATGTTGGAAGTAAACTTCATAACACGTTTCTTCGATGTCCATCTTCCTTTCTGACGCAGGTGGTGTTGCCAGGAGCATTTACGTCTCACTGTCAAGAAGAACCCTAAACCATTTTAAATGCCATATTCTGTAGGTCTTTGAAAGGTTTGAAGAATGCCTATTTATTTCAAATACATGTCTGTATATCTAAAAATCTTAACTAACTTAATTATAACATCTGACTATCATAGGTAGTATCTATAATCCGTATTGAATTATACATTTCTACACAACACCTAAACAAGAAGAGAAATATACATATCACAAAATTGACCTTAAATTTGTATCAATAAATGAAAATCCATTCCAACACAAAGTATTCATAGCTATAGCATAATTCCCTTTTTACCTTTAAAAATGTTGGTTGTGATCATTAACCATTTATAACCCACCCCATTTAAATGAAACCAAACATTTATAAAAAATATTTGGGAATTTGGGCATCATTCTTTCCAAATTACTTCCTGCTGATAGGGGGTGCTGTCATGGGGGATCCAAAGAAGACGCAGACATCCTGGCTGTAGTCTGCAAGGCTGCCTTGTTCAAGCTGTTTTGAATGTTGTATCACCAGGAACTCTTTTTCAGGGGGTATGGTTTGATCAAACCACATTAGTCTGGAAGGAATCTACAGCTTTCCATTTTCTATGGAAACAAAAATAGAAATCCTTTTCCCCAGTAACTTGTCCTTGAACTTAAATTTTGAAGTCAAAGCATTTTTAAAATATATAAATTGAATTAATGCAGCAGAATTTCCTTTATCAGTTGTTATTTTCTCAGCAGTCAAACAGTTTAAAGACAACAGAATAGCGTGTAGTATCCACAGTTTTTCTGTGCTTTCCATCTTTACTTTTTTTTTATTACTCTGTTTCTTTTACTTTTTATTTTATTATTTTTTGAGACAGGGTTTCTCTGTGTAACTTTTATCTGTCCTGGAATTCACTCTGCATACCAGGTTTACTTTGCAATCACAGAAAGCTTGCCTCTGTCTCCTGCTTGCTGGGATTAAAGGCATGTGCCACCACACTTAGCTCCTCTCTGTCTTTTTAAAACCATTTATTCTTTTTCTCTCCCAAGCCTACGTATATTTTAAAACACACTGTAAGCCTTTAGAGGTTTTTCTTAAGTGAATCTGTCTTTACTGTAAATCTTTATCTTTTTCTGGCCATGAGTCTTTTATCTGGTAAACAACAACATTGCTAAAATGAAAGTCATAGATGTGTTAGCCATGGTCTATCCAAGATGGCGGCAGGTACTTTTATCGCCAGAACTAAGAGCTGTACTTATTGCCTTGGTTTGCGCTGCCATCCAGCAGCATGTTGCTGGCTTGGAGATGTGATCACTGCCATTGCCAGCTCTCGTACACACCAATAAATTGTTAGCAGTGCTTTTTTAAATCCGTGCGGTTTTTTGCTGCTTATGTTAAGTCAGGAAATCTCCCTTAAAGGAGCCGTGCAAATCTCTGTTTGTCTCTAGCAAAACAGAATCCAACCCAGAAAAATGCTGTTAGCAAGAAGCCTTGCTTGTCTTTGCTCTTTTATTTATAAAACCCTTTTTTAAGCTTTAGTTAAATTTTAAGTGGAAGTTTTTATTAACCACGTTGGGGTGCCATAAGTTACGAGTACTTTTTCCTCCGGTCTGGTCCCTCCGCCATGCCAGCCCCAATTAACACACAGAGACTCTGTATTAGATATAACGCTGTAGGCCAGTTAGTAGTTTCTTATCGGCTGCTCTGTCTTAAGTATTAACCCATTTCTATTAATCTAAGTATTTCCACGTGGTCTCATCTTACCAGAGTGGGGCTCGTGTCTGTTCTCTCCAGTCTCTACATGCTGACTCCCTATTCCTCTTTCCTCCTTGTCTCCTAGTCCCTCCTATCTTCCTTTCCTATTGGCCAACACTGCTTTATTCATCAACCAATAAGAGAAACATATTTACAGAATGACATCTCTCATCAGTCTTTTTGTTTGTTTTTTAATTCAGTCTACTATTTCAGTCTCTGGGATATTGTTGTCCACATGCAGAGTGAATCGTCATACTCAACTCTGTCTAGAAACTTCTTCACAAATATGTTATGAAGTTGGTTTCCATGGTGACTGAACTCCATATAATTGATTATTGAGCCATTACAGCTTCACTTTTGGTCAACTTGACACTCATATATCTCAATTTAAACCATAACCTTCTACCTTGGCACCCTCTGCTTTTATTTTTATCGCTTACTAGGAAGGCATTTAGTCCATCTCCAAATGTCTCCACAGAG